TTGTGAGACCAGGAACTTTGAAACTAAAGCCATGAACAGTAAAGCGTCAAGAAAGCTGTGGAGAGCGGCCTACAGCGCCAGGTACCACCATACTTTCCAGGTGGGGCGGGGCTCACCTTCTGAAGGTGGCCACCTGGGACGCACGCAGCTCAGTGCAGCCACCACAACACCACGGGGCACTGGCACAAAGTCAGCTTGCTCATTGGGACCACGGAAGCCAGGAGTCCGCCCTTACTGAGACACGAGACAAGTGCCGGGAAGAGATGGTAATGGGCCTGCCTGGGAAAGACGCATTTTTACACTTTGCAAAAAACCCTCCCTTGACACCACATTCCTGCAAAGACCGGTAGCGCTGCTCCTGGCATCCTTGCCCCCACATTAGGGCTTGTTTGTGAAACGACCCCGGTGGACCCTCCTGCCGAGTCTCTGCACAGGGGAACAGCCTCCTGCAAGAGGTCGGAGCTCGCCGGGGTACAGGTGGGGGCCGAGGGTGTCGGGTGGGACGGAGCACCAGGATGAGCCACGCAGGGGTGTGGCGGGGACTGGCCTCGTGCCTGTGCGCGCCGGGCTAGCAGCCCAGACGCTAGAGGCCACCCCTGGGATGGGTAGAGGACAAGGGGCACGTACCTCTCCCTCGAGCCCATGTGTAGACACGGCTGGTCTCAGTGCTTCTGGGCTCTTGCTCTGCCGGCTCCACGGGCAGGGGGCGGAAGTGCGGGTCCTCGGCCCGGCCAGGGGTCTTCAGGGGCAAGATATACTTGGGGAGCCCTTTGTAGAACCAGGCCCCCGACCTCTTCCAGACCTTGGGGAGAAACAGGTGCTTAGAACCACAGGACAGAGAGCGGCCCTCGCTGTGCTGCGCGCCCAGCGGCCCAGCCTGCCCGTGTGTCCCTCCCCGGACAGGAGCGACGGGAGCGCGAAGGGCAGGGTGCGAGCGGAAAGTCTGGCTCTGCCCTCCCTGGCTGATGGCCCGGGACTCAGGGCAGCTGGGAGCTAAGTCCCACGAACTCTCCACACCTACTTTAAAGACAACCCCTTGCTCTCTCGTTTCCCTCCTGCAGAGCAGGGGCCGCGGTGGCTACAGCGTGTGCAGCCCTCAGTACAGGCCTGGCATTTGGGACACGCTCATGAAACTGTCTGCTGTTGCCGCCTCTTACTGCCTGTATATCCTCCAAGACACACAGAGCCCCAGACATGCCTAGTCACACCCCTGCCCACCCTAGCCCTTGCCAGCCCATGCTGGAAAACTTCTAGTGCCGGAAGCCCAGGAACCCCGAGGCAGCAACCTCGCCTGCCCCGCCTCCCTGGGCTGAGGCCTGGAGCCGCCAGGATGGACCCTCTCAGCTGCCGAATACCTGCAGGTGCCTGTCCACCGCCCCCAGCCACCGAACTCTCCTCAGTGCCCCACCCAGACCCCCAGCTTCTCGAGGATAACATCCAGGGTTCCTCGGCTGTTCCAAGCCCCTTCCAGCCAGCCGGCCACCCCCTCTCGCTTGTGTTTGTCACTATCTGTCAGGAGAGAGGCTCAGAAGTAGCTACAAAGCTCTGGCTGCCCCCAGGGCACAGCCACGGGCTTCTCCTCCCTCTTTCCTGCATCGGTTCTGTCCTCCTTAGGTCCCAGATCACCCAGGAGCCCCTCTCGGCCCACACGGACCCCCAGGGACTCTCAGAGCCAGAGGGGTCAGATGACGCCAGCCAGGTCCCAAGCAGGTGCAAAGCATCCCTTTGTCACTCTCTTGGGGAAGCAGTGAGAGGAGGGGCCCTAAATCTGGAGGATGGGCACCCCTGAAGCCTGGGCAGACTCCCAGGAAGCCAGGGAGGCCTACCTTCACCCCAAACAGAACTGACAGAGCAGGAGATGTTTTGAGTCTGGAACTTGCAGCCCCTTGGGCCCTGAGGAGTCCCTCTGTGCCCCAGTCACCCCTCAGCATGGTCACCTAGGCTCTCCCCTCCTGCTCATCCCTGTAGATAAGGCAGAATCAACAACAGTTTCCACATACTTGCTGCGTGACTTTGGGTGAGTTACTTAACCTCTCTGAGCCTAAGTTTCCTCATGCGTGAAGTGTGATAACAATGCTTGCCAGGAGAGCTGCTAAGGAAGTTAAAAGTGCTCAGCACAGTGCACAGCACCCAGAAGGTGGCCAAAAGATGCCACCTGCCTTCCTCTGGCCTGTTCCCATCCCTCAAGGCTCCAGGGCAGAGCAACAGAGGCTGGAGGAAGAGCCGGGCTGGGCCACATCACAGTACATGGAAGCTCTTCTTTGAGGGCATCTTGGATGAGACAATCTCTGCAGCAGACACAGAAAGATCCCTGGGAGAGCCACGATTAGAATTCACAGTGGCGACCAAGATCAGGTCTCTAAATTTTCAATGGCTACTTCAAAAAACACCAAGTGCTCCAAAATCTCTTCTGATGAAAGAAACATACTCAGGGTATTGAGCAAGGAGGGGTGGGAGTGTGTGAAGGAACGACATCACCTTTTCAGAGAGGAGCAGGCCAAGTTTCCAAACAGACGTCCCGAGTTTGAATCCTGGGTCTGTCACCCAGCAGCTGTGTGATTTGGACACGTCAACCTCCCTGACCCTCGTTTTCCTCCCCAGCAGGCAGAACAGAGGAACAGTGGTCATCTCACAGGGTGGCCGTGAGGATCAGACCCGAAAATGAATGGAAAGCCCCAGGGCCCAATGCCGGGCATGGAGCAGCTTCTCAACACATGGTCGCCACTGCTACCCTTCTCTTCCCACCTGACAAACGTCAATAGGTTTACAACCAGGGGACCAATCCCCTACTCAAAAGAAAGAACTTAAAGTCAGAAGACCAGAGTTGGCCTGATCTCTCTAAGAAAGCGTTTCCCACTGCCCTAACGTCCTTTGTGCCACATCAATACTGTGGGATATTAACAGGGGCCAGGTAGCCAGGTATGGAGGCTCACACCTGTGATTCCAGCACTTTGGGAGGCTGATAAGGGAGGATCATTTGAGGCCAGGAGTTCGAAACCAGTCTGGGCAACATAGCAAGACCCCATCGCTATCAAAAATTAAAAAATTAGCCTGGCGTGGTGGCACACACCTGTAGTCCTAGCTACTCAGAAAGCGAGGCAGGAGGATCACTTGAGCCCAAGAGTTCAAGGCTGCAGTGAGCAATGCCGATACCACGGCACTCTAGCCAAGGTGACAGAGTGAGACCCTGTCTCAAAAAACAAAACAAACAAAAAAAACCCCAGGGGCCATGCAAAAAAAGGAGGGGATTCCCTGATCATATACACTTGTGAAACACTAGGTTAAGCCAAGCTCCATTACTGCAGGACTTTTCAGAGCCTTTAACATGCTATGTGCACAGGGTTCTCCAACAGGGCAAAAGAACATACGGTGTTCCCTGGATGGAATCTGCCTGGATGGTTTACGTAGAGAAACCCGACCCTAGTTATGGGTCTGCATAAACTCAGCACTTACTGTCCACTCGTTGAGTGACGTGTATCTATGTTCTGCAAGTAGACAGTGGTCACCTCTTTGTGCTCCAGAGTGCCAGGCTTGGGACTACCAAGTCCAGACCATGTTCCTGGCACGAATCACTCCTCTCTCCCTCGCAGCGACCCCGTGTAGAAGGACTTTTGTGTGGTTCGTGAACAGATGGAATCTGTCTGGTGGGTTGAATGTTTCTCGGATCCCCCTTTGAAACCCTTTCTGATCCTGTCGGAGCCCTGCTACCACACAGATTTAGTTATGTAAACTGGCGACGCGCGCACATGGTCTGAAATCCACAAAGCGCAAAAGTGAAGAGTCTCTGCCCCATTCCCAGAAGCATCTGGTGATAACAGTGCTTTGAGGGAGCTTTGTTACTATCCCCACTTTCCAGGTGGGAAAACTGAGGACCCAGTAAGTTCAGCAACTCTCCCAAAGCCAGTGCGCCATCCTGCTGGCCTCTACTCCACCCTGAAGGCCTCAGTTTCATGCTAACAGTTTACAGATGCTAACCAGATGCTCACCGAATTGTGGCTGAGGTGGTGAATACATCCTCAGAGGGTCAGATGTCACCATGGACTCTGAGCGTCCTACACACTGGAAGCCCAGAGGGGAAGGAAGTACTGGACAAGAAGGAGAAATAAAGAGCAGCCGCCAAGGCCACCCTGACCCTGGAGAGCTGCTGCAGAGCTCCTCAGAACAGGTGCCCGAGTCCAAGAGGCCACGGCACGGCCACAGGGGTCGTGGGGTGCCCGCAAGGGGCATGAGTGGCTTCCTACTCCCGAGTGCAGGCCTGGGTACCCCTCAGTACCAGTCCCCGTCCTCCGGTGGGCTGGGCCTCAGGGGGACCAAATGAAGCCAGCCCTTGAGAGCCACCTGTGAACGGTGGGGCACACGTGGGCTTAGGACCCACGCCACGCTGCCTCTCCCACCCTGCCACTGAAACCACTTTTTTTTTCCTTGAGAAATATACACATAGCATAAAAAATTAGGACAATAAAAAAGTAAAACGAAGAAACCACAGGTCACTCGTAACGCTACTGCACAGAGAGGGCCCTGCTTAACACAGCGGGATGAGGTTTCCCACGCCCTTTCCTGGCCATACACACGACTTTGTTCTTGTTTTCTGAAGAACAGGACAACGTACATGCGACCTGCTTGCCACCCCTCCTAACTATGTATCATGCCACCGTTCCATGCTAGTAATTGTCTCCATCATTTGTAATGGCTCCACAGTTTGAATTTATTAAACTTAATTAATGTGGCCCCCCGCTGATGGACATTTAGATTGCTTCCAATTTTTCACTCCCACAAGCAGTGCCGCAGCCATCATCTGGGTACGTCCCTCAGCTGACAGCTCTCGGTTACCGCCTTAGGAAAGACGGTTGAGTCTCCCGTATCCAACATGCTAGGGACAAGGAGTATTTTAGATTTCGGATTTTTTTAAAGTCTGGAGTGTTTGCCTTATACTTACTGGTTCAGCATCCCAAATCCAAAAACCCCAAATGCAAAATGCTCCAGTGAGCATTTCCTTTCAGCGCCATGTCAGTGCTCAAAAAGTTTCCAATTCTGGAGCATTTCAGATTTCAAGTTTTTCCATTAAGAACGTTCAAGCTGTACTCCACGGAGTGGAACTGCTGGGTCAAGAAACGTGTGTACATTTAGGTGATGGCATATGTGGTCAGATTGCCCTCTAGGAAGGAAAGTCGTACCCGAGTGTGGCACATAAGTGTCTTCGCGGTAGGGACCTCCTGGTACCATCCAGGGTCTAGTCTGTGGACCCTGCTTGGGAGCAGTTCCCACGCGTTGGTGGGCTTAGAGGGGAGGCATCTGTCAGGTGCTGATGTCACCAGAGTTAGGTGCTGCAGGAGGGACAATGGAGTCCCCCTGCCACCCTAGGACACACCTTTGGGGATGGGAGAGTACACCCCGCCTCATGCCCAGCCGGCCAAGGCCCTGTCTGATGGCAGCGCCCACGTGGAGGGTGACTCAGCAATGCGACCAACCCTTCACTGTTGCACAGCTCTAGTGGAAGAAACTAAGAAACACCGTAGAGCTGCGCCCCAGGATGTTACGGGGCCAAGAACCTCGCCCGTGCTCAATGAGTCCTCATCTCACAACCTTCTGTTCCTCTCTGCGGCGCTGGACCACAGTTCTGGCTCACACATGGATAGGGTCCTTTTAAAAAATATTTTAAAAAAATTTTTGTGTTAAAATATTCATAACATAAAATCTGCCACCTTAACCATTTTTATGTGTACAGCTCAGTGGTGTTAAGTACATTCGCCTCGCTGTGCAACCAACCTGCAGAACTCTTTTCATCTCGCAAAACTGAAACTC